GATTCGGAATTTCCTCATTGCTCAGAGGCGAGTCTCGGCATCCCGCACCAGCGTGGCCAACAGCCAACCCTGCCACCTTGCGTCAAGTCTTCGAATTAGCTGGACCTTCGTGCCGTGTGCAGCCGAGGCCCGCGTCATACACAAAGACGGCGTCCGTCAACCATTCTAACTATCCCTACCATGTCAATTGCGGTACGGCTACACGAGTGCTGCACCACGGCGGGTGAAAATCTTACAGGTGCGCACTTAGTGCACATGAAGATGGTCGGTGACTTAAAAGAAAGTATGCCGGTGTGCAACAGCTGCCCTGATCCGCCGTTTTTGTAACGCAGACTGGTAAACCTGGGCGGTGACTGGTATAGCGGCGATGCGACACCATTCGCCCTGTCGTTTCCAGACCAAGGAAGATTAAGTCCAGCATAAAGCACCAGTTAGTTGGTTTTAACAAGATCTCGTGATAAGACATAAGTATTTTGTTGTTAGCAGTAGCGCAGGCAGAGGGGGGGGGGGGTACAGGAGGCACGTGCACCCCCGCCCCCCCTTAGGTTCCCGGGAGTCCAAAGGGCCTCCTCGGGACCTATGATTAGGGCCTCATTAGAGGCCTTGAAGGGCCAGAAGGGCCGACTGGAGGTCGTGTTCAGGGGCCGCGGTCGGTAGGGCCGGGCCAAGAGCCCTGCGTGCTGATCAGGGGTCCCTTGGTTGATAGGGCCCATATATTGTTCATACACCACCAGTAAAGCACAGTCGGCCCCGTGGCAGCATGGGCCTGAGGGCCTATCTTCTAAGCGGGGATAAAGCCGGAGCAACGATTTACATTGGCCAGAGGCAGTATTCGGGGTGGCCCAAAGAGCCCGGAGGGCCAACGGGGTCCGACGGTCAAATACTCCATTGCAGGGTCTAAGGGCACGAAGGGCTGGTTTCAATCTTATTCAGGGGCCCCGGTGTGCAGGGACAGGTTCTCAAATGTCAGTCAAAGGGCCATTTTGCACCGATCAAGGACACCCTGAGTTGATATGGGTCTACATGTCGGTGAGGTACCGTCAGTGCCGCCCAGTCCGCTCCGTGGCGTGATTAGGAAGCGTGAGGGCACGCTTCCCAATCAGCTACAAAACCGGGACCAGATATTTTTACTGGTGGGTGCCCCTGTATCTGTCAGCGGCACACGGCGCCTAACAGAAGGTCATGTGTTGCAGGGGGCCCGAGTCGACCAAGGACAGTGTTCGATGACGCCCGAAGAGGGGACCGGGGTCCCAACGCAGCTGACTGTTAAAGGCCTGGATGAGGGGCATAAGGGTTAGAAGGGTTGGCTGTAGGTCCCATAAAGTGGCCCGTAGGGTCGTGGCTTGAAAGATCAGCCAAAGATCCTCTTGCACCGTTTGAGGACCCGTTGAGACAATTTGGGTGTCTAAGTCGGCCAGAGATTACCAACACCGAACGCTTGGCTCCCTGTCAGTCTGAATCCCGGGGACCCATTTTCCAAGCAGAAGGAAGATTGGATGCCTCGATTCTCATTGGTCTGAGTCCCTGAACAGTGGCTGGGCCCCTGTGTCGGTGTCGGTCAGGGACCCACAGTGCACAACAGGGGGCATGTCTCGGCATGTGGCCCCTGGTCGATTGCGGGCTTTGTTTGAGGTTCGGAGACATGTCAGAGGCCCCATCGGCACCAAAGATCAAGCGCCCGATGAGAGTCGGGCCCGGTCCCCCACCCGAAACGCCGTGATCAAAAATTTCAGTCAGAGCGCTTTTGTTAGGGCTTTCTTATTAAGGCTCTCTTTTTCTATTTTTATAGGGTCTCGATGCGGAGCTAAACAGTCGGCTCCGTGTGCGCCTGAGCCCTTGAGACCTATTTCCCAAGCAGGAATGAGGTCGTGGCCCGCAATGTGCAATGTTCGGAGTCGCTGGCACAACGAGGGGCTCCTGTGTCGGTCAGGAGTCATAGTACCTAACAGGGGTCGTGTGGCGGCAAGTGGCCCTATTCGGTCGAGAGCGGTGCTTGAGGGGGGGGGGGGGGGGAAGACAAGGGGCCGAAGAGTCTCTCGAGACCAAAGATCACGGGCCTGATTGGAAAGCTGAACGGCCCAAAGGGCTGGCTCTAGGCCACGTTAAGGAACCCGCCCGTAGGGTCGTGATCTCAGATATCAGTCAGGGGTCTCTTGCACCGATTGGGGACCCCTGAGACAGATATTCCTCCGTTTTAACCGCGAATCACCAACACGGATCAGTCGGCGCCGTGCTGGTCTCAGCTCTGAGAGCCATTTTGAAACAGGCCATGGCTGAGTCCACGATCTACATTTGTTCGTGATTACATTAATGCGGCACTCCCATATCGACCAGGGGCCCACAGTGCCTGACAGGGTATTCCGTGTCAACAAGGGGCCCCGAGTCGGTCAAAGGAAGATTTGCTCAGCAGGGACGGGGACGGGATCCCGAGTGACAGAGGGCCTCTTGCGCTGGTCTGACCCTCTGGCAATGAAAGGAAGCATGACAGCTTAGGACGATTGTTCACTTTGAGGCGGTGTCACAGTCCTGTGCCAGTCAGGGTTCCCAGGACCGAATGGTGGGCCCTCGAACCCAACTTCAGCATGGGTTTGTTAAGCCCAACTGGAGCTTGTGTATCAACTATTGGACCACCTGAGGCCATTAGAGATCCTATTGCATCAACGGGGGTTCCTAAGTCTATCCAGGGTCAACTGCGCGGGTCAGAAGGTCTGAAGGTCTGAGGCCTTTTACTGTACGGGGGCCCTCCGTCAGCCATGTGCCCCTCCCTTGCCAATACTCTGGCTGCGCGCCTAGCTGTGTGATCATCATGCTAGGTCAAGGGCCTAAGTATTGCGGAAAACAACATTTTACAGCTTTGCATGCCCATATTTACTAAATCCTGCCCTGTAGTGACATGAAACTGAAACAGGCGTGTTTTGTGTTGATTTTTTGGCGCAATGATGAGTAGTCTCACTTTCTTTAGCATATGTTTATGTACATATGTCATGTATGGCTCCGTTCATGTAGCAGTGTCAGCCCGCATGCGTGGTCCACGGAATCGTCGGCTGCCGTCCGCCGCCAGCGCCGGTCTTAGATTGCCGTCCAGTGTACCACAGCCAGTAAAACACGGGGACGCCATATGTGGAGTGATAATGATGACGCTGGTCAGTGCTGGGTGGAAAGAGAAGGCGGGGGTAAGGGCGCACAAGAGCCGAGGCATGTCTGTCAAGGTCAAGGTCAGCCCACACTCAGCCACCGTAGGCCCGAAAAGCGTCCTTTCCAAAAACTCTCGAAATGTGATATGTTAAGGGTCCGGATGAGGTGAACACAACGATGCACACCAATGCGCGGGGAATACAGAAACTTGGCTCTCATCGTCAATTCCACAAAATTCATTTCCGGCTAGTCAATATTCACCAAATCAGACATGTCAAATATTCAAGATCATCGTCTTTGTCCAATTTAGTTGGTAGTATGTCGGGATTAAAAAAAAGAAATTCAGCAACATTAGAATGAAGCCAACTTTCATCTCAGACAAACCTCTGAAGTCACCAATAAATTTCTCACCAATAAACTGAAGGTGATATATCTCACTAAAAATAACATCCTACCGAATGCAATCTCACATCTCAAACGGGTCGACATGACAAGCTGATTCCAAATCTAGGCCTTGTTTTCTATCCTCATTTCTGGTTCCGGAGTTAGAGTTATGCGAAATCAGTTTCCATCCGTTTTATTCCCCATGGAGGTTAACACGCGAGTCAATAGGGCTGATTTCGTCGGCCCATAAGATTTCCCCGATTTTCAGATTAAATGTATCTATACATCTGACACATCAGTTTCCATTTAAAACGGGCCAGGAAGAAAACGTGTTCAGAAGATGAGATACTTTATCCAAAATCGCATCTCGCCGAACACATGACGACCTGATTCCAAATCTCAGCTCCGTCTTCTATTTTCCTTTCTGGTTCCAGAGTAACAGTGATGCGAAATCAGGTCTTCACCTGATGCGTCATTTCCCATACAGATACTCTATTTCCCATAATCTGAAAATCAGTGAAATCGCAAGGAGCCGCCGAAATCAGGCCCATTGACTCGCATGCTAACTCCATGGAAGGTGGACATGGATGTGCTTATCTCTACGGAAAGTAAAGCATTAGGTAAAAATATGATTTTGCACCACTGTAACACTGGAACAAAACGTGCGGATAGAAAAAAAAGCCCCGATTTGGAATCAGGCTGTCATGCCGAGTCTTTTCAGCGGCGACTAATATGCATCATATTAACATCCCCGGCCTAATATGCATGGAAACAAATTTGTCGCATACCCGGCATAAGTTTACCTAAAAATAATCCGCCACTTATAGCCGACCGTCGGCTCAGCGTGGGCAGAAGCGTGGCTGAGGTGAAGAGTTGGCTTTGTTCTAATATTGAATTTCTGACTTATTCGAAGAATCCTGACACACCGCTCACTAAATTGGATAAAGGCGATAGTTTTGAATATATGACGTGCCTGATTTGGTGAATATTGACCGAGGGGAAGTGATCTTTATAAAACTAACTATTAAAAGCCAAACTCTTGTGTTCCCCGCGCATGGAAGTGTATCCATGTGTTCAACTCATGCAGATCCTTCAAAATCGTACATATCACATATCGAGTGTTTTTGAAGGGGCCGCTTGCTTGGGCAGACCCTGGGCTGAGCGTGGGCTGTCTTGACACACGTGAGCCGAGTTGAGGTTCATGTTGTCATTGGGGAAGGCTATAGGAAATAACGCTCCTCGATTTATGCTAGCGGATTTCCTTTAGCCCACGCTCACCTTGTGGTGCGTTATTCTGTCATATCCCATTTTTTTCTGGTCAGTACTTTCTGTCATCTCCAGCCCAGTCCTGAATCTGCACTGTCGTCTTTTTCCCCAATGACGTCACGAAACATTAAGTAGATGAGAACTAAAATCGTTGGACGATACTGTCCTCCTTACACGGCCTTGTGCGTATCGATATGGGAGTTTAGTTTGTTGTGTGGATGTGTGGGGTGGGGAACCGAAAGTAAGGGACCGGAGCCAGCGGGGAAAAGGAGCTGGACCGTGGAAAATACACCGTATAGCAGTCTCCAGTTTTAAGCTAAATACGTTGAACGAATGAGTATTTTTCGGGGCTGCTCGGCGTGCTGCTTTTGTGAACAGTGGATGCCAATTTAGGTGTGGATTAATGCGGCCTGCCACTGGCAGTTCTGGACATTCAGGTATGCAGTAGTTAGACAATCTGAATGATAAAGCTATTTTGATCTACTTACATCGCTGTCAACTTATGGAAAGACAATAACTTAAGGTAAGTAACCTACTTGCATGTGAAAGTCAAGAAAAGGTAGGTGTGGCATTCCTCTTTGATTGTGTTGGTGCACAGTTCCCAACGCATATCATCAGTGTGGGACAGGCACCATGACAAGCCTGAGGAGTGCAGTCCCATTTCATGCCCAGTTTGCAATGTAAACTAGCATTTTGATGTGCATGTTTGCTCCCAATGTTGGTTCATAGTTGAATTTCAGTCATCAAATGTAAGTACAATTTAAAAGACAGTAGCTTACAAGCTTTTTCATATCCAATTGATGATGTGATGTTGTTCTTAAGGGTTTTGCTTTTGGATAACAATGTAATAACATTGGTAACCTCTGCCGCACCAACACCACTTGACTGTGCTGTCATCTCAGCATTTGAGTATGGGGAATGTGAGGCTGTTCTGATGTAAACCTGCCCCAGCTAAGTTTGTTCTTTGTGTAGTAAATCAGATAATTGTATGATCATGTAATGAAATTAGTACCTGTATGCAAGAATATAAGTAGGTTATGGGTGCCATATGACCAACATAGTCAGTGTGCCCCAAAGCCCAAATCATCATCATGCAAGAATATGCAAAACAGATAAAAAACATTAGTTGTAATATGTTACTCTACCCAACACTTATTGAGAATTAGTATGTAAAATCCTGAAGGTCCTTTTCTTGCCAGCCTCATGTGCTTGAGTCTGGCTTTGTCTTGGACTGAGGTGTGGTATATATTGCAACATATATCCATAAAAGCAAAAATATGGACAAAAATATGTGAATATGCCATACCTGTCATTCTCTTGGCAATGGTCAGTGTGTGATCCAGCCCATTATATTTGCTTTTTTGTCATTGGTAGTTTCATGAATTTGTGTTTGGTAAATAACTATCATTTGTTTTGGCCAGTAGCAATCACTACAATACTTTTTGGCACACTCCTCATAGCTCAACTTGCTAGTCAGCTAATATTGCTGCATGTGTGTTGGTGGCTGTCAGCATGGCAGTTTTGTAATTTTAGTTTAAGTTAGGATGATATGATGTGTCATGTCATGATACAACACTGTTATGATAACCAATGATATATTAAATGTTTTGGGAGTTGCTGTCTTATAAAGACAGCCTTATTCAGGAAGTGTCATAAATGACCACTGTGCCTACAGTGTTCACTAAAGTAAGTTTGTTTGACAAACTAGGGAAGTTATTAAAGATAAAGTATATTTTATGTTAACAAAGCTCTACACCTCAGCAAGCTGCAAAAGTGTCTAGAAAGATAGCCACAACAAACAGCAACTCTGCCCAGACATGTATTGCTGCACCAAGTGCACCACATTGTTCAGTGGTTCTGAAGACTACAAACATCAAATGAAAAAGATTCAAAACAGTTAAATCTCTTCAGTATGTAGAAAGTTTGCAGTGGTGCTTTAGATAACTGCTATGGCATTTTCCAGATTCTGAGAACTGGCAGTAATTTGGGATATGAGCTCCACATCTTTAGCTCTCTTTCAAGACCTAGATTCCCACCACAAAGTGTGGATTGATTGATATCCACTTACACTACATGTCTGCAGCTTGCATTAGATAGTATATGTTTATATGTGTATATATTTGTGTCTATGAATGAATAAATGATGTATAGGTAGGCATCTATTTATATCATGTAAGTCAGGTATGCTGCTAAGGGTTCTGCAAATTCGTGATGGAAAGGTAGAAACTTCTCTGAAAAGGCCTCTCTCTTGTCATGAAGTGCTGGGACCAACCATTGAATCAGGTCATGTAGCTCTTGATGAAAGCATCACATGTTTTTGAACCAGTCCAGGCATAAACATATTTTATCATGTTCAAATGTCCTTTGTGCTGATGTTTTGAGGAGTGTATCATCAGGGATGAAATGCCTGAGTGAGGAGCATGCTTTACTTCCACTTGGGAGGTATGGGTTTGGTTCTCAACTGGCACCTGAGCCAGTGAGGAGCATGCTTTACTTCCACTTGGGAGGTATGGGTTTGGTTCTCAACTGGCACCTGAGCCAGTGAGGAGCATGCTTTACTTCCACTTGGGAGGTATGGGTTTGGTTCTCAACTGGCACCTGAGCCTCAATCATTGTAATGAAAAGCATCTAATAAAGGGATGCACAAAGACATACGCAACCTGTAAAAATGCATGTGTACTACTCTGTGTTGGGTATCAACAAAATAAACACCAAATGAGATTCCTCAGTCCAAGGATAATTGTATTTGTCCAAAAACATGCTGGATTTGGGGGACTTCATGTGGATGTGCTTGTGTAGATCTGACATTGTCTGGCAATCTAGCTGTCTCAGCTCATGGCCTGATGCAAAGATAAAACATTTCTGGATGGGGTCTGGCCCACCAAAATGAAAGTGTTCTTGTCTGTGTCCAGCAACTTTCAAATCAGTAGCAATGCACTGAAGCACATGCAAATGTTTGAGAAAAACAATATTCATCACTAGATGTGGGGACAAGGCCACATTCAGCTTCAGCTTTCGAAAGTTCTAGCTTCTGTGCATTGACTTCTAGGTTTTGGTGCAGCATCAGCTGTGAGCAATTTTCTAGGGCTAACATTGGCTCCAGATTCGTGGCGTTTGTGAAGGGAGTGTTCCATATTTGGAGGAGATTTCAAAAGCATGCTGTAGTGAAACAGCAGGACCAATTAGTCTTATAATAACACTGGGTAGTGCCACGGCAGCTCTAGCGTCGGCAAAGCATAAAAGGGTCTCAGTGTTAATTGTTTTCTAGGTTAAATTACACCGTTTTTGGTTTGAGCGTCCGTCCGCCCATGCACCCGTGCGTGGTGGGTTGGGTTTGGTTTGCTCTGTGTGCTCGCCGTGCGCCTCTGACTGGGATGTCCCGTGGCGTGTGGCAGCAGCCACGCCTAAGTTCAGGTGGCATTAGAGGGCAGGATAGGTCGTGCCAATAATTGAGGCACTTTTTTCGTTTCGCACCACAATTTGCCGTTCACCCGGACTTCCACGGTCCCCGGCGGGGTCGGTGCTCACGCAACAAGCACTGCTTAGCGCTGGCATTCAGTTCAGAGCGTGGGTGACGATTTGTGCTCTTTTTTGAGGGCCCTAACCTCACCCTGTTGAGTCCCCCTTCCCTCCGATGTTGGCTTGCTCCCTCCCAATGTTTTGGCTGGAATGCCACCGTAGGTTAGGTAGAAGTTCACCAACATACCAAGACTATCTTCTGTGATCTATCTGCATAGTGGCGTCACCTTGGAGGATCCAGCGGGTTAGCTTGATCCCCGCAACTACAAAATGATTCCTTAAATGATTGGTGACCTAAGATAATGGGGGGAGGGGGGTATTCCCTTTCAGGTACGCCGTGCTTTTTTCCCCGCCAAAACGTAGCTCCAGGCGCCTTTTCCCATAACCTGGATAGACCATTGACACCACTGATTCACAGGTCTCGTAAAGACTTTGCCCAGCGACGTTGTGTCTGCTACACGTGGAAGACTATGAGACTAACATTGTTTTACTTGAAATCCGAAGTTCTGTGCTGTACTGAAAAAAACGGACAACAGAATATTAGTTTCGGTGGGGCATCGTTAGTTCGAAATACAGGTTCAGCTGTGAAATGGGACACACAATACACCAAACAGAAAACGAGCATTTTGCTGGGACAGATTTTGAATGGGAAACTGCTGAAAATGGTTTGTCGCTTTCACTCCGAACTACCATCTCATAACTATAACATCTCATAACTGTGACATCTCATAACTCTAGCATCTCATAACTGTAATGAAGTTCCAACGGACTTATTCTGCTCCGGGCCCTTATCGGAATAGCACGCAAGGAGCTTTACCGCGCCATGTAACCGCACGGCTCCTGGCTGTCCTGTAACCGAGCTGACATTACCAAGCCAGCGACTTAATAGCCCTTTTCTGCGGGCCATATATGAACAGTTGTTCTGGAAGGCGAAACCTCCACCATACGTTTTGGCACATCACGAAGGTGGTCAGCATAAATTTGGTCAGCGTTGGTATTGTTTTTACACATCTTAACACTGTCATTTGCCCTTCATAATGACTCATGTTGCTGAGGTTAAATGCCTTTATAAATGATACAAAAATGAATGGTAATAAATAAAAACTAAAAGTGAACAAATACACTGCCTTTCATTGAAACAAGGTGGGTTAAATCCGGTAAAAGGGTTATTCAGGCCTTCTGTCGACCCTTGTCTCAGAGATCTATCTAGTCAAAGGGCTCAAACGAAATCTTGAAAACGAAGTGCAGACTTGTATTGAGCTTGCGCCCAAAGTTCCTGTTTTGCTTTGATAATTGCAAAAGTGAGGTGCGTGAAGCTGTGAGTGGCATAAACAAGCGAAACCAAAACGAACTCGATTCTGCCTGTTATGTGATATATTTATGTCTTCATCGAATGCATGTAGTCTTCGCAGGAATACAGTAACGTGTTGACCCTGAGGCCGATCATGTGCAGGACCGTTGTCCAGGGATGACACGTGGTCCAATACTGAAGGGTGGTGCCACCGTCCGACGAATGGAAGGTGCGCGACGGGAGACATCGGAGGCCCCTGGTCACCTGGCTACCGTGCGGGAACCGGGGCGCCGTGTCGCCGGCGCAGCCTGCCCGCTCAGTACCGGTGCACGGTGTCAATGTCAGGCTGACATGCCAGTAGTACTATGATGTAGTGGGACACTACTGGCGAGAGCAGATGTGACGCGAGCGGCGCCACGCAGTCGCCACACCAGCCGAGTGGTGTGATGGATCCGAGCCAGCCGGCGGTGCGGGCCCCCCTGCATCGGAGCCGGCTGGTGCCCGGGTGCCGCTCCCAGCCTCGATCGCCGACTTCCGGCGGACAGACTCCCACCGCCGGCGGCCGCTTCGGTTGGTGCCCTGGCCGACCGGCGGCGATCGCTCCCCCCCCCCCCTTCCCCTGTCCCTGTTACAATCGTTGCGTGGGAGACAATTCGGGACAGCCCACCATTGTGAGTGGGTTGTGAGACGAGGTGAGGCTGGATTTCAGCGCG